CAGGAGTTCGTTATCACCAGGGTAGATCGAGTAAGGGGCGCAGCGAAATGACGTCGTCGAGGTAGTCGAAGATGGCAGTGTCGGATACCGTTTTGGCAGCCAAACGAGCCCCCAGTGGTTGAGGATAGCGGAGTGCATCTTGCTGGGCTCGTAGACAGTCGAGGTGGTGTTGCCAGTTTCGATCTTGATTCCAACCTGGGTCAGACGGCGCGAGAAAGGTTTCCAGAGTTCGCCTTTGCGGGCTTCATGTCGTGCGCGTTGTCGCCATCGGTTAGCTCATACGCGGCGCGAGACTTCTGCGCTGCTCGAACGCGGCGTTCTTCACTGAGGCTGGCGTGAATCTCGTTGGTCTCTTGGGTGAAGGCGATGCGGTCGTGCAGGGAGATCTTGTCGCGGTCGATCTGCAGGTGCTCGCGGCCGATGTCGGTGTTCTCGATGAGCATCAGCGCCGTGGAGGAGTCTTGATGCCAGATTGCTCTTGCAGTGCTCCGGAGGGTCATGCCACGTATTTCCTTGCGGATGTCAGCCGTCTGGGCGTTGAGCTCGGCGGTTAGGGCGGCGGCGAGGGCGTTGCGGGCACGGCGAGCGGCTTCGTGCATCAGCGACTTCTGAGAGCGCCACTGGTAAACTGTGGAGTACTGGGAGATGTCGTGATTCTCGGAAATGACCTTGTAGTGGCGAGCGTGGTGGGGCGAGTTGAAGATGAAGGCAGGGACTGCGCGCTCTTCAGGGGGTCATCTGCGAGTAGGGCGGATGCGTAGTTGCATGATCTTGCGATCGCTTACCATGCCGTCTTCAGTCTCCAGAAGAGCGTCGTCGGCGGTCAACAGAATTTCCATGAAGGGGATGTCGTGGGACGGCAGTGTGGCGAAGCAGCGGTCGATGGCGCTCTCGGAGAGGTTGGCGATGGTGCGGCGCGCGGAGGAGAGAGTCCTGACCTCCAACACTTCCTGGAACAACTGTTTCCAAAAGGTCGGCCAGTGCTGGTAACGCGGGGCTTCATTGACGTGCGAGTCGATCGAGGAGTTGATGCTCTTGGGGGCCTGGTCGGACATGTCGAAGTCGCCCAGCATGATGAAGGTGCGTTTCAGAGGGTCTTCGGCAGCGTGTTACATAAGATGTCGCCATTGTCTTATGATCTCTCCTCTGTCGCTGGGCTTCATGTCGCGATTGTGGATGTTGAGCACGGTGACGTCATATGAGCGAGTGGTGTCTGTGACTCTGAGCCATGCTGCTCGCCCTGGAACGACTTCGGCGAACAATCGCCGAGGGCGCTCTTCGGGTGGACGGCTTAGCTCTACCTGGTCGAAGGGGACGAGGAAGCCAACGCCGCCGGCCGTGGACGAGTTCGGGATGCTGGAGTGGCAGGCCATGTACTTGTGCTGCGAAGAGCGCGCTAAGACTCCATGTCGATGGCGGAGCCGTGGGTCTCTTGGAGTGCGATCAGAGCACGCTGGCGTAAGAGAGGTTTGAGAAAGCGACGTTTAACTTGACGGCGATGATCCGATCTCCCTTGTAGTGCTTGAGTGCTCCAGAACGCGATGTTCATGCCGTGGTCGTTGTGCTTGGAGAGCCACGGCGTCCAGCGTGGGCTGAAGCCACTGCGCGGATGCCAGCGCATCAGAGAAAGAGCTCTCGAAGGCGATGCGGATGTTGGTCTGCTGTTCGTCATTGATGCCCATGCGGGCTGCGGCTGCCGTCCATCGCAGCTTGGTGGGTTCGTCGGGGGTGCCTCCCACGATGAGCTGGACGATGACCTCGTTCTCGTATGTGATGTACCCTTGACTGCGTTGAAGGCGGAGAGTGTACTGGTCGAAGCGCTGGTTGATGAGGGCCCCAATCGTTTGAGTTGCGCTTCGCGGCGGACCGTGCGAGGGCTTTTGTCGGCGGAGACGTGCAAGGGGATGGGGGGTGAGCTGCCGGTGGATATGCTGAACTCTCGCCAACTTCTACCGACATGTAACAATTCGTGAAAACGTCGCGTACGGGGTTCAGCAAAGACCGTGCCTCCAGTGAGAGTAAAGCTGTGGCGTCTGACGACACCTGTGGTGTTGAACGAGACCTGATCGAGCGTGACCTTGGGGTCGGCGAGCCATGACGCCAGCGACTTCTTGAGGTCCTCAATGTCGAATGGAACTGCGGCTCCAAACCAACAGGTGCACGGATCGGCTGGACGATCCCATGTGCCGAAGTTGGCCACGTCGATGCTAGGGTTGCGGGACTCGGCGTCGGTGACGATCTTTTGGAGCTTGTCGACGGAGTCGCGGAGCTCTCTGGTGACCACTTCTGTGGCAGAGACCCGTCGCTTTGTCTCTTCGAGGTCTCGTTCGGTTCTTTCGTGTTTCGTGTTGAAGTCGGTGGCGATGGCGGTGATCTTCTCGAGGAACTGTTCTCTGGCGGCGTTGACGACGGATTTTGCAGTGGCTTCGAACTCCTTGGCGGCATGTTGCACTTGCGCTGAAAGTGCTTCTTCAAGTTGGTGGCGTAGATGTGCAGGAAGCTCGTTGGCTGCGAGCTTGAGGGCTCCGTCGTGCCAGGGGTCCTTCCCCCCTTTGCCTTTTTTGTCTTCGGCACCTGCTTCACTTGCAGCGGCGGGCATGGGAACGTCCGACATGGAGGAGACGGGCTTGGCACGCATGGGGTACTCGTCGACCAGCAGCTTGCTGACGGCGGTGATGCGAGGAGCTGTTGCCCAGCACGGAATATGGAGGCCACTGCGCACAAAAGTACGAGGGAAAAATATGGAAGTGGGCGCCTGCAAGCCCGCGGTTGTGACAGGAACGAAAAAGAGACCGAAGCTGGCAGCGGCTCAGCGGTATCCATTTGGACACCGCGGGGCGTGAACATCTTGAGCCAAAATGGCTACGGAGGAGGAAGAGGAGGAGGAGGCGGAGGAGGAGGAGGCGGAGGAGGAGGAGGAGGATAAGGAGGAGGAGGAGGAGGAGAAGGAGGAGGAGGAGGTGGGCGTTTTTCCGAAAACGCTGGTGGCCCAGGAAGCCCCCAGCTTTACGCGCCACCTTGGACCCCCCCCCGTGGGGCCCCCCAGGTCTCGTGAGGGGCGCCCTGGTGGCCATCAGCGCCTCCCCCGAAAAGATGGGACCAGCCTCCTCCTCCCCGCCCCCCCCCTCCTCCTCCTCCTCTTCCTCCTCCCTCCTCCTCCTCCTCTCCTCATCATCATCATCATCATCATCCTCCTCTTCCCTCCCTCCATCCCTCCCTCCCTCCCTCCCTCCCTCCCTCCCTCCCTCCATCTCTCCCCTCCTCCCTCCCTCGCTCCCTCCCTCCCCCCCTCCCTCCCCACCACTGGCAGCACCCGAGAAGGGAGGTCCCTGGAGAAGCTCAGGGAGGGCCAGACGGCCCCGAGAGACTTCGACATCCTGGGTCGGCGGGAACAAACAATGCCATAAACATAAACTTTCGGAGGCCCGCGCGGATTTCCCGGATCCGCGCTGGGGCCCCTGGCGGCGCCTCCGGCGCCGATCTAAGAAGTCCGCGCGGAGCTCCTACAGTCGGCCCGTATCATAAGGATTCGCGATCAAGACGTATGGGCCTTGGACGCCCATTTAGGAGCTTTTCGAGCGGGGCGCGGCCAACGAACGTGGCCAAGGATGGACCGAGGAGGCTAGGATCCTTGGGAAGACTGCCCATCCATACTATGCGGGTCGACTGCAAAACTGATGCTGGTGCCGTGTTTCCCCTCCTCCGCGCCTCGGAGCCTCTCTCCTGCCCCACCTCTCCATCCCGACCTCCCCGCGCCCTCGAGCAGCACCCCTCCCCTCCCCGCCTCCTCCTCCTCCTCCTCCTCCTCCTCCTCCTCCTCCTCCTCCTCCTCCTCCTTTCCCCCCTCTCCGCCCCCCGCCTCGCCGGCGGCCCAAACCAGCGCAGGTTCTGCAAAGCCCCGTCCGACTGAGACGCGCGGGGGGGCAGCACCCAGCTTGCTTCCCACATGGGACCTCGCACAACAGTGCGCTGCGCTCGCGGAGGAGGAGGAGGAGGAGGAGGAGGAGGAGGAGGAGGAGGAGGAGGAAGGCAGGGGAGAGAGGAGGCGGAGGAGGAGGAGGAGGCGGAGGAGGAGAAGGAGGAGGAGGAGGACCAGTGTAAACCAAAGGGTCATCAACGATGTTGGAATTAACCCTCCTTTCACAGGCCCCTACAATGGTTCATTTCCATCGAGGGAACTGCCTCGTTGGAAGACACCCTTGAAGACCCTGAAGCATGCCAAAGCATGGTTTTCGGGATTCCAACGCAACGGATCAACCGGACTGCTGCGTCTTGACGATCCTGACTCGTGCCATAACGTTGTTTTTGGGACTTCAACACCGCGACTCAACATAACTGTTGACCCGCATAATCCTGAATCCTTCCAAAACACCATGCATGTCTGGTACGTTGACCATGGGAATCCTTGAAGCGCTTCAAGATGTTCTGAACGAATGCGCGCGGCGCTGAGGCGAGAGCCACATTTTGAAAAGGAACCGCCCTCAATCCGTGAAGCTCTGGCAATGTTTTAAAAGAATGTGCGCGGAGCGAAGGCGATAGCCACATTTTGAAAACGACTCGCCCTCAATCCGTGAAACTACGGCACATGATGTTCGCGGCGTTAAGTCGAGAGCCACATTTTGAAAACAACTCGCCCTCACTCGGTGAAACTCTTGCAATTTTTTAAAAACGAATGTGCGCGGCGCTAAGGCGAGAGCCACATTTTGAAAACCACCTGCCCTCCATCTGCGAAGCTGTTGCCACTTTTTAAGGTTCAGGGTCACAAGTGGGTGAGGAAGCCTCAGGCGAAACGCCCAGCCCGCCCTAAAAACTGGCCCGGGGTACCGTACAACAGGGAGAAGCGATTTGGAAGAAAAAGGAGTGGAGCAGGCGCACGAGCAGGAGGATATTAGAGAGGAGCAGGAGCACGAGCAGGAGCACGAGCAGGAGGAGCACCAGGAGCACGAGCAGGAGGAGCTTAGCGACGCCGGAGGCGGTGGCGATGGGGCGGCGGCGGCGGCCTGCTGGGCCAGCTCGGAGCGCCTGCGTTCCCCGGCGAGGTCGGCCTGCGAGGGGGGGGCCGTCTTCGCCCGATGGAGCCGAAGAGATGTCAACGTCTGGTTGTTTCTGGCTTGCCCAAGCTCGCGCCTCGCAGCTCGCGATGCGCGATTATCTTCACGCCCTCGTGCCCTCGCGCCGCCTCACTGGAGAAGGGCAGACGCTCTGGCCCAGATTGCGACGCGCGGGGGTGCGATTATCTTCGCGCCCCCGCGCGTGACCTGATGAAGTGCTTTGAGGTTTCCTGCCTGCCTCTCCACCTCGATCGCGCTATTTGTTCCTGGCCGCCTGAGGCCTCGGCGGCTACGGAACGCGCAGCAAGCACGTGCACGTACGCGTGCGCACTCGTCTGCCCGGCAGATCCTGCGACGGTACGTTTGCAGTCGCGCGCTACGTGACGTGGTACAGATGTTAATCTCAAGTGTGATCAAAAAGCTCGTCCAGGGGGGATCGTCTTGATCGCTGTCGTCGCTGTCGTCGCTGTCGTCGTCGTCGTTGTCGCCGTCGTCGTCGTCGTCGTTGGCGTCGTCGTCGGCGTCGTCCCTCCTCCTCTGTCTCCTCTTTCTGCTCCTCCTCTTCCTCCTCCTTCTCCTCCTCCTCCTCCTCTTTCTCCTCCTCCTCCTCCTCATCATCATCACCATCATCACCACCACCACCATGACCATGACCATGACCATGACCATCACCATCATCATCATAATACTCATCCTTAATCATCATCATCATCAGCATCATCCTCATCCTCAATAACAACAATCATCATCATCAGAATCATCATCATCAGCAGCAGCATCAACATCAGCATCAGCATCAGCATCAGCATCCTTATCATCCTCGTTCCCTGCATCTTCCTCTTCCTCATTAGCATCCTCGTCATTAGCATCCTCCTCCTCCCCATCATCGTAATCATCATCATCATCATCAGCATCATCATCATCATCATCATCATCATCAGCATCATCATCACCATCGTCAGCATCATCATCTGCATCAGCACCCTTACCATCATCAGCATCATCACCGTCATGATCATCATCTCATCATTACCATCACTATAATCAGTAACAGCTTCTTCTTCATCATCACCATCACCAACATCATCAGCAACATCATCAGCATCAGCAGCACCAGCATGAGCATCATCATCATCAGCATCATCATCTCATCAATATCATCAGTACCACCATCTCCATCACCATCACCATCATGATCATCATCACCACCAGCATTATCATCATCACCACCATCACCACCACCACCATCATCATCATCATCAGCAGCGTCATCATCGTCATCGTTATCGTTATCGTCATCATCATCAGTAGTAGCATCATCATCATCAGCATCATCAGCATCATCAGCATCAGCATCATCATCATCATCATCACCACCAGCATCATCATCATCATCATCATCATCGTCGTCGTCGTCATCGTCATCATCGTCATCATCATTATCATCATCATCATCATCACCGCTATCACCACCCCCACCACCACCACCACCACAACCACCATCATCATCATCATCATCATCATCATCATCATCATCATCATCATCATCATCATCATCATCATCATCATCATCATCATCATCATCATCATCATCATCATCATTCCCCCCGCTCTGGCGCGCACTCCCGCTCTTGCGGGAGGGGGCGTGGGGGGAGGGGGGGCGGAAGAGGAGGAGGGAGGAGCATGGAGGAGGAGGGAGGAGGGGGAGGGGAAGAAGGAGGATCGGAGGAGGGTGAGAAGAAAGGAGAAGGTGAAGAGGGGAGAGGAAGGAGGGAACAGCAGGAGGAGAAGGAGGAGGAGGAGGCGGAGGAGGAGGCGACGGGAGGGGGAAGTCCTGCTCCCCCTCCTGGGCGGACGAGCAGGCGGGGAGGAGGTGCTCGACCTTTGCCCCGGGGCTCCGGGAGAGGCCCGCGGGCCCTCGCCGATAGCCGGCGGGCGGAGCGGCCGCCCGGGGCCGAAGCGATGGCCCGACGAGCAGCCCGGGCGGGCGAACCCTCGGCCTCCTCGGTCTCCGAGGCTTCGCGCCCCAACGGGCGACCCAGTGCCCAGGCACCCGAGCGACGAGACGAGGCGGCTCTTGCGCGAGAGAGGGCACAGCGACCGCACGCCGCTGCTTGCGCGGGCCGCCAGCGCGGCACGCCACACCGGGAGCGAGGGCGCTCTCGCGCGACCTTGCGCGGGCAGCTTGCGCGCCAACATCGTCGCAGACGGCCCCGTCTGCGTCGTTTGCTCGGTGTTCAACTGCCTCGGCGCCCTCGTCGCGGATCGATCCATACGGTGTGAGGGGGAGAGGGAGCGAAGAAAATTCCGCACCGACGCGGGGGCTGGAGCTTCGGCCCTGATTTTGTGTCGCGGCGCTGCATGCTTCACGGCATCGGGTAGCTCGCAACCGCGCAGGCAGACAGCAGTGATCTCCCCCCCTTCCCATCCTCCTCCTCTTCCGATTCTGGGGTCCACTCAAAACGACTGGACTACCACTCTTCGAGCTGCTGCTCTGGATGGGCGGCGTCGCTTGCTGCAGGTTGCTGCTGCTGCTGCTGTCGCTGTTGCCTCTCCCTCCTCTTCCTCTTCCTCCTCCTCCTCCTCCTCCTCCTCCTCCTCCTCCTCTTCCTATCCCTGGGGTTCGCCCATCAAAAGCTGAACCCACACACCTGGCTAGCAAGCCACCCCCCATGAGACATCCTCATCTGGAGCACTTGGTGTTTTTTATTCCTGTTCTAAAAAAAAAGTGGGGGCTTGTCGGGCTGGCGCGTTTGTTGTCGCCGACGTCCGTCGCCGCGCCACATATATCGCACCACGTCGATTGCACCACTTAACATCCTTTTCCTTCAAAAGCGGAAAAGAAACACAAATTACAAATGATTTTGCCCACTCGTTCAGGTGTAAAATCAACTCATGCCATCCCAATAAAACCCCGTATGGACCCTGCGCTTATCCCTGACAAGAACCGTCCACTGCACGGGCATTGGTTTATCAACACTCAACAGTTTCCCAAAACCCCCTTGCGAAGTACGTGACGGTGTCGACCCGCGCGCGGCGTCGCGCGCGCATGCCGCAATTCTTCAAAACATCTTTGGTTTCGCATGGATTTCAAAGCCAATTTCCCTGGAAACGTAAACACGGAACCAATGGTTTTGCAACATTATTCTGTTTCATGCGTGTCTGCGCGCGCGTCGCTGCGAAGTCTTACGACAGCTATAGACTGTTCAACATGATCATCAAATGCGACCAACTGGAACTCCCGCGCGGGAGTGTCCAAATTATTGCCAAGCCTTTGCGCGCTTGCTGGGGGCACGCGATCCCTGTCAAATGAAACCATGCGGGCCACTCGCGCCCGTCGGCCGCGCGCGCATGTCAAAATCCTTCCACAACTTTCATCACCGACGCGTGGGCACCATCATCGCCATCGGCGTGATCAACATCGGCGCCGTCATCGGCCTTGCCGTCATCATCGTCATCATCGTCACCCGAATCGTTCCTATCATCATATATCATCATCGTGTTTGCAAGTGTCGACACCGCCATGATACCGTGTCCGATCGAGACGCCGCTTCGCATTCACGGACCCGCGCGTAAGCGCGGCCTGCTAGACTCGCTGGGGAATCCCCAACGGTCAGCGCCACCGCGCCCGCGTCGGGCGCACCAGACTAGCTGGCCACTCTGCGCGCGAGTCTGCGCACGCTAGCGCGGCCGCAGCGATGCGCCAGACAACGCCAAACAGTCATCGCGATCGCCGCCGCGCGAGTTTTGCAAACCAACTTGCAGGTGGGGCGGGTGGGGTGATTGCGCGACGACTGGAATCGACAGCTCACAGCGACCACAAACTAATTACACCACGTAGCCGGCACCACATATATACTTCGACAGATAGGTCACGCCACTGAGATTAGCTTCGCTAAAAGAACACCAGGGTCGACCCCCCCCCCCCCCCCCCGGATTTAACCGCCCCCCTTTTCGCATTGTAAATTATGTATGATCCTGCCCCATTGTCCATCCTGAATATGAGCGCACACCATCCCAGTCAGGCTGGCATCGCCCCCTCTTCATCCTCTGCAGAAGAACTGCGCGCGCGCACTCTCAAAATTCTTCAGTTTTCAAAGAACCTTGGGAAAATAAGGGACGAAGTGCACGCGCGCGCGTCGCCGGGCGCCCACGCCGAAATCCATCAAAACCCTGAGCTTCGCAAGGATTTCAAAATCGAGTGCCCCGAAAACCCGCAAGAACATGTGGTTTCGCAACAAGGATGTTCAAATACAGCCTGAACGCGGGCTTTTGCGAATTCTGAACAAAACCATGGGTTCTTCAACATTTTCATAATGGGTGCCGAACGGGCTTCGCGCGCGCATGTCGATATCGCTCGAACGCCCTCGCGCGCGCGCTGCCGCGAGAACCCCCGCAAAAAACGGGGCGAGGCGCGCGCGTCGTCGCGCGCGCGCGCCGGAGCCCTTAAAAAACCGAGCTGTCGTAAGGACCAAGAATGAGCGCCCCGTGAACATTGACAAACATGTGGTTTCGCAACATCAATGTTCGAAAAAGCCTGCGCTCGCGCTCCTGCGAATCCTTGAGAAGACCATCTGGTCTTCAGCATTTTTTCAAAATCCTGCCAAACAAGCCCCTCGCGCCGCATATCGCAATCATTCGAACGCCCTTGCGCGCGCGCGGGGGGGGGGGGGGGCGCGATCCGCATCGCGTGAGACCGCGCGGGCCACTCTCGCGCGTCGGCCGCGCGCGCGCGCCGAACTCCGCGCAAAACCTTCGTCGCCGACGCGAACGCGCCGTCGTCGTCGTCGGCGGCGCGATCAGCATCGGCGCCGTCGCTGGCCGCGACGTCGTCGTTGTCGACGTCGCCGCCAGCATCGCTACTATCAGAGTCGCGCCTGCCATCGTCGACGTCGCCACGATATCGCGCCCGCCCGCACTCGCGCTGAAGTGCTGCTGGGATTCGCCCAGCGGACAGCGCCATCGCGACCGCGTCGGTCGCGCCAAACTAGCCG